ATGTACTAATTGGATCCTTTGGCAAAACATGAAAATGCAACGATTTAGTTCTTGAATTTTATTTACAATTATAAACACAATAATAATTATATTATTAATAATAATAATTCACCATGATCCCTTTGATAAAATACACACTAACTAACTATATAAGCATTTAAGCGTTGAGTTTCTTAATCCCATGATATAAGGAATAATCAATCGAAATCGAATAATAAAAAAGTTTTTTAATTTTTTCCTTGCAACGTAAAACACAAATAACTTGCGCAATTTAGCTGTGCAATTGAACAAAATTTGTCGAGTAAGACTTCTGCCTTCCTCTCTTTTGTATTTATTTAAAAATGATGTATAATCGGTGCTTTAAACCGTTGCGAAAACCCGATACTTCTTTGGCGTATAACTGATTAATTGTTATAAATTGGCAACTTTTTATAAACTTGGACCTTGGCTTATGTACAGGGTGGTCCACGTAAGGTGACCCATATACTTATCTCAGAAACTACTGGAGTCACAAAAAATTTGCAAGGAACAAATATTCACGAAGTAAAAAATATTTTTAAAATATTATATTTTCATTTATACAGGGTGCTCGGTTTTCCTTGGGACGATACCAACTTTCCTATTTTCAATGGAACACCCTGTATTTTTTTGCATTTTTGGATTCTTTCCACTCTTTTAGGTATATTTTGTAAATATATTAAATAAGAAAATGTTAATACTTTTTGAGTAAAATTAAAATTTATTAAAATTTCTCTAAATGTAGACACTCGCTTAAAGTTAAAAATAACCAACTAAAAGTTATTATTTTTTATATTATGTAGTATCCATCTCTTTAATAATAAGTAAGCTATAAGTTAATTATTATATTTTTTGGAAAATATCATACAGGGTGTTTTCTATGTCCCGTTGAAAATAGCGATTTTAAAAGTTTAAAATCTTGTTTTTCTTCAATGGAACACCCTATATATTTTTGCATAATTGGATAGAATAAGTAATTACCTTTCATTTTATGTATATATGTCCTATACCTAAACCTAACAGAAAAAAAAATATTCGCATTTTTCACAATTAGTAGCTTTTTTCCAATTACCTTAGTTAAATTTTCATTATTCACCCTGTATAATATTTTCCAAAAAATAAATTAATTAACTTATAGCTTACTTATTATTAAAGAGATGAATGCTACATAATATAAAAAATAATAACTTTTAGTTGGTTATTTTTAACTTTTAGCGAATGTCTACATTTAGAAAAATTTTAATAAATCCTCATTTTACTCAAAAAGTATTACCATTTTCTTAATTAATATATTTACAAAGTATACCTAAAAGAGTGTGTAGAATCAAAAAATGCAAAAAAATATAGGGTGTTCCATTGAAAATAAGAAAGTTGGTATCGTCCCAAGGAAAACCGAACACCCTGTATAAATGAAAATATAATATTTTAAAAATATTTTTTACTTCGTGAATATTTGTTTCTTACAATTTTTTTGTGACTCCAGTAGTTTCTGAGATAAGTATATGGGTCACCTTACGTGGATCACCTAAAAAAAATATTCGCATTTTACAAAATTAGTAGCTTTGCGCGTATGGTAATTATTATAGTAATATATATTTATATATAAAAGCATTTTTATTTGTTGTTATTAAAATTTATTTATTTGAATAATGAAAATTTAACTAAGGTAATTGGAAAAAAGCTACTAATTGTGAAAAATGCGAATATTTTTTTTTCTGTTAGGTTTAGGTATAGGACATATATATAAAAAAAGAAAGGTAATTACTTATTCTATCCAATTATGCAAAAATATATAGGGTGTTCCATTGAAAAAAAACAAGATTTTAAACTTTTAAAATCGCTATTTTCAACGGGACATAGAAAACACCCTGTATGATATTTTCCAAAAAATATAATAATTAACTTATAGCTTACTTATTATTAAAGAGATGGATACTACATAATATAAAAAATAATAACTTTTAGTTGATTATTTTTAACTTTTAGCGAGTGTCTACATTTAGAGAAATTTTAATAAATCTTAATTTTACTCAAAAAGTATTAACATTTTCTTAATTAATATATTTACAAAGTATACCTAAAAGAGTGGGTAGAATCCAAAAATGCAAAAAAATACAGGGTGTTCCATTGAAAATAAGAAAGTTGGTATCGTCCCAAGGAAAACCGAACACCCTGTATAAATGAAAATATAATATTTTAAAAATATTTTTTACTTCGTGAATATTTGTTTTTTACAATTTTTTTGTGACTCCAGTAGTTTCTAAGATAAGTATATGGGTCACCTTACGTGGACCACCCTGTACATAGATAATTAAGGTATGATGAAACCCTTTTTTTAGAAGGTACTGCAATAAAAACATTTCTTAATAAAATGCATTTTAAAAACCCTTTTGCAGACTTTTTAAAATAATAGGTATCAAAATTCAAATGTTGTTTTTAGCTTTAAGTGTTGAATTTAAAACGCCGTTCTATCTTTATTACTTTGAGAACAGCATTTTCTTATTAACATTTGAAAACTGTATTTTTAAAACGCTTTAAGTCCTGAGGCGGCAGAAAAATGTCTACCAAAAAGAAAGCAATGAAGTATATCTGGAGTGATCCCCTATACCAACGACATAAAATCCTGTTTACAATTCCACCAGGAATTGTTTTCTGTATCTTTACGTACAAATGCACAATCTAAAGCGAAGTGTACTTTCAAGCTATTCAATTAAAAAAAACTACTTTCCTTCGTATAAATATTACAAATAAATCTCAAAATTACATTTTTAGATTGAAAAACCTCAAAATAAGTAAATAACAAGACTACCTAGTAGGTAATAAATCAATTACTAAATAATTAACTGATTTTTTAAGGATGTTAAATACATGGTAACGGAACCATTTACCTAAATTTAAATGTTATAAAAATTTTATATTAACATAACTAAAGGAATATTTATAAAATTAATATTTAATTCAAATATAATATTTACTAACACTTTAATCATCTTTTAAAACTAAACAATTACTACTTATACCACAATAGAATTGTAAACTGTATTGTTAAACTTTTAAAAGCCGCAAGTTGTTAATAATATATTTACGGAAAACAACCACTGTTTACACTAGGTTAAAGGCGAATCAATATTTTATGCTTTTTAATATAACATAGACACGATAATATGGCGCCCTGGTATTATATACGAAATAACAGCAGTAATTGCTTAAAAATCATAAAAATAGTAATGAATTTTGTAATTAATCATTACTTTATAAGTGTGTCTATCTAAGGGTAATAAAAAAAAATATATTAATTTATCTCGAGGATATGAAATTAGAAACATGAGATTTACATTTAAAACTTTTAAATTTTAGTATGTTACTCTTATCAGACTATACTTTGTGGAAAAATTTATCGTCGTTTAGTGAAAGTGACAATTTTTTACATCTTGTACAAAAGACCTTAAAAAGTAGCATTTATTATCTACTTTAACATAATACAATTTTAGATTCCTAACTTACAGGTTCTAAAATAAAAGGAGTTTAGTACACTGTAAACTGTATAAGTAAAAAAGAAATTTGCATTCATATATTTTGATTTTTGTGTGGGATTTTAATTTGTTTTGTCCCTTATAAAATATTGAATACAAAATCTAAAAATAAAAGCCTTTTATCTAACTTTATTATGAAACTAATTTTCTTTATGTAAATTTAATCTAGATTCTTGTTAAAAATAACCATTTTATGTGATAATGTTGTTAAAGGGGATGTGCTTTTATAAAAATTAAGCAGAAAAATAAAAATTGACTTAGTAAACAAATATACTTTTTAGAACCATTTGAAAATCACAAAATATAACAAATGAAGCCGGCTAACATATTTATCAAAAATGGCGAATGTGCCGGTGTTAATGCTTTTAAATTCAAACCTTACTTGTTTTCTTTTAATTTTAATTTTTTATTTTTTTTTTTAATTAAAATTAATTTGTTTTGTTTAAAGGTTGCAATGGACCATTATTATTACTCATCTACTTTTATTTATCTAGAAAAAATATTAAAATAAAGCATCAATAAAATAAATCATCAACTTAATTTTTAATGAATAATATTTTAAAATGTGTATTTTGTTTTATGTGCTTGAGTTTTATCATATTTATTCGCAATAAATTATTAAATATTTAGATGCTTTTCTCTTAAGTTGATACATTGGCTAAAAGCCACTTGTTTGCGCCACTATTTTATTCGTTAAGAAAAATAAAAAGAACTGTCAGCTTTCAGCCAGTTCTTTGACGTCTAAATAAAAATGCTTGAGTTTTTTGCTGCTTTTTATTTAACCTTTCGAAAGGTTCATTGACCTGAAAAAATCAATTTTTAAATGTGATTTTTTGTTGTTTAAATGCTTTTTAAATTTAAAGAATTAAAACTTATTTTTAGACCACTATAAATACCCAAGTGGTTATTGTTAGGAACAAACTTACACATTATAACTTTACAAATTTGCCAATAATTTACAAACAGCTGGGAAGTTTGTTCTGGACGAAGCTGTGCCCTGTCGTGGAATGTTTATTCAAAAAGGTCCCGTAATTGCCTTTTTATGCAGCATAAGTTTCTGAAAGTTTTAAAAAAGTTTCAAGAATAATAAGCGTAAATTGTAGGGCAAAGGAATATAAATAATATACAAATTATCACAAAATATTACAAGAACAGTTTACAAGGAAATATCACAAAAAATATATTTTAGGTTACTTTAGTAAATGCAATACTACTTTAAAAAATATTCAAAAATAAGGAAAATATGTTATTGCTAAATTGTTTTAAATAAAAAAATATTTATATGAAACCACTCATTAAAATAATTTGATTTTAAGAAATAAAATTTGTTAGATACTTTATTTGTTTGTCTTAAAATTCTTTTTAACTGTTTTTATTTAAATTTACTACAATACTGTCTCCAAATACTCATTGCTAAAAATATTAATAACAGCTTTTAAATTGTTTCAGCATGAAACTGGGAATGTGGCCAGTGGACAGAGAAGCTCTTAAAAGAGATGGGCTGGTACTTTTTAGTAAACTTATTCGCACAAAAAACGTAGATGGACTCCAAGAACAAAACCGGCCCCAACCAACAGACGACCGAAAACAAAAACTTACGGTAAGTTATTCAAAAACTTCGTTAAATATTTAAAAATCCATACCAAAAGTTTTAGGATAGATTTTTCTATTTTTATAAGGGTTTGAAAATAATTAAGTTTTATTGTTATTTCATGTTTATCTCCTAAGAGTTTTTAAAAAATAAAAGGCATGCTGCGAGTTAAACTGAGTCTTAAGTTACACGAAAAATATTTTAATTAAAATCCCGTCCTAACAGCTCTACAATCTTTTAAGGGTAATAAAGTGTTTATTAAACCATTAAAGAAATTAATTAGTAAATCTAAAGAAATATTTCTTTTAAGCTTTATTCACATTAATAAAATTATCATATTATAATGATGAACATTTATTATTTTTAAAATTCACAATAATATATATATATTAATCTCTAAAACTTAGGATACAAAAAATACTTTATATATTTTCCTGGTAGGTCAAGCTCATATGGCAGTTATCCCTTATGTTATCAAGTTTAATCAAGTCTACATTCTCCTCTGAAAAAAAATGTTTATATAAAATTGCTTTAAATTGTAACTTTTCGCAATGGACGTAAATTTATTTTCTTTTTAATAATAAAATAGATTGGTTACAATGGAAAACGAAAAAGATATACCAAAGGTCAGGTGACTTTAAAGTTTATTTTTTATTTGCAATAAGATTGGGTCGATTTTAAGATTTAATAATAATATTAATTGCTTACCCAATATAAGGATTTTCTTGTAATTTACTTTATTCTGATTACCTAAAAATAAGTTATTGGAAATTGACACTAAGACGACAGCTAAATTATTTTTACTTAATTGTATAATGGCGTGGGACAAACAAAACACAAATAAATAATTGGGACATTTATTGTACAAAATTTTAATTAATTTTTTTGGTCAATATCGTTTTTTAATTATATTATATTTATAATACAAACTTAAACAAAAAAAAATGAGCGGATTTTATTATGCAAAAAATTTTTATCATCACATTCAAATTATTTCCTTCGGAGATTTACGTAGAAAAAATCTAATTTGTCATAATAAAAATCAATATTATTTAAACGGGAAAACGATATAGAATGGAAATTGTTATGATATTTTCTTTTTAACTCAATTATAATTAATTTTTTTGTTTTTTGCTTACCAAACCCAAATAAAATTGTTTACCGTTATTTCCTATCGGCTCATGAATACTCCTAGGATTAATAAATGTATCGGAAGCTAAAATAGATTAAACTGTTTAAAAATGCGAATGTGCAGCATTTTATATAGCGTTAAAACATAATTATGTTTGCAATCTCAATATGGAAATAGTTAACTTTGGTTCTATTAACAACTATTAGTCGAATACAATTGGTACAATGTAATTTATTATTCATCACAAAGCCATTTCGCGAGTCTGGCTTAGTTCCGCAGCTTGCAGGAAAACAACCATTGGAAATCTTAGGAAATTAATCTGCCTTGAAATTGCATTTACCACATCAATTCTAATCTTTTAAGCTGCGCAATCAAAACAAGATCCTAAACAAATTCAAATTAAAAATAACAACAAAATGGTTTTTTGTATTTAATATACATAAATTAAAATATATTTCTTCTTAAAAAGAGTACTTTTAGAATTAATGTATAATAAAATATTAAAGTAAATATAAATATTAAAAATTAATTAATTGGTCTATTATACTAATCAACATTCCTTCTGTTCAAAATGTACCGAGTCAAACAATTTTATTTGTTATTTAATTCTCTAACCTTCAAAAACTTTTTATATATAACAGGCAAAGCGATTTTCAAGATAACATCATGAGGGTATCTAAAAGCCTATTCAAAATTGTTATCTAAACCGCTTTACGATAACCGTAATGTTTTACCAAGAAATTTGATGCAGTAGGTATAATTTTAATTTAAAAAAACGTTTCCTTTACAACTTTTTAGCATAAAAAGCAAGTAACTTTAGAATATTACCTCCAAAATCGATTTCTGCTACTTCTTTATGCAATCTATTCATCCCAGGTATGTCTGATTTAAACTCTGAAAATGATATTACTCAAATATTTTCAGTAAGTTTTATATATAGGTATTACCATTTAAATTATTAACGCTCTGACTCCGAATTGAATCTTTATCGCTATTATTAAAATATGGAAAGTCGCCAGCAAAAGAAAACCCCGGCATTTGGTTTGACATTTTTATTGTCAAATTTGACTTATTATTTTCTATAGCAACAGCAAACAGTTTATCCAGGTTAAGTGTGGATGTGTGACTAGTTTCTATGCTCCACATCAAAAAGTGTCACTTTGAGATTTGAATAAAGAATGCAGTCAAATAATTGAGGTTTGTGTCAGTTTAACGCTATAAATAGTTATTTGAGGAGCATCCGTGCAAAACCGGCTAAATCCATTTTATTCAGTTTTTTTTTTATTTCGTATCATTGGGCTAATTTCTATCGATAACCAAGATAATTCGGTTTAAATCCGACTATATCCATGTTAAAATCACATTGAAAAGGTAGCTTTAGGAGCAAAACCGGCCAAATCCACGTTTTTATAGCAAACCCGTCTATATCCAATAAATAATAGTTATAATAAATAGTTATTTGAGGAGCATCCGTGCAAAACCGGCTAAATCCATTTTATTCAGTTTTTGTTTTTTTTTTGATTTCGTATCATTGGGCTAATTTCTATCGATAACCAAGATAATTCGGTTTAAATCCGACTATATCCATGTTAAAATCACATTGAAAAGGTAGCTTTATGAGCAAAACCGGCCAAATCCACGTTTTTATAGCAAACCCGTCTATATCCAATAAATAATAATGATGATGAGCATGTGGCTTGGATATGTCGATACTATTGAACATTCTGTTTTTTCATGTTTTCACTAAATTTATTTTGTTAATATTTTTGAATAATAAAGGTTTTTTTCACATTTTATTCGTAGGTTTTTGAGCAAAACCGGCCCTATACAAAACATTTTTTGATATTTAGGCTTTAATATAAAGTTTTTGAAAACGAAAGAATGTCTTATAAATCAAGAACCATAAAGTCCACAAAACTCAAGTTTGCTTTTTTGTATCTGTAAAGGCCAGGAAACCGAGAGTTTTTGCCATTTTCCCAACATTTTATTAAAGTGGATATAGCCGGTTTTGCACGGATGCTCCTCATTTATGTATCAAGGCAGTAAAGTCGTATTTTTTATCATGAATGTGAAAATTATTTGCCGAGGTGAAAGCCGAGGCAAATAACCACGTAAGTGATAAAAATGACTTTAATGCCGAGGTGCATATTAAATTTTATCCGAAATCACATTTAATAATACTAACAATTAATATTGATAATTAAATCAAATGTGATTTGATGATCAAATCAAATGTCATTTGAAGGTAGACAAAAAAAATATAACATAGTACCAAGAACAGCGCTTTCATTGAATGCATTAAAATTGAAGCAATCTAAATTGTTATTTGCTCATTTAATTACTATTAAACCAAAATAGGGAAATATTTTGCTTGAATGTATACATAGTATACATACTATAGTAATGTTATTACGTTATTAAATAAATCAAATTAGTATTTAGTAATTCTAACATAAAATGAAATAAATATCAATATAAATATCAATAAATTTAGAAGCGATAACTTTTGTTGTTAATTTAAAAACAGTAAACGATTATAAACCAAGTGCTAACTACCTTTTGGTATTATAGGAACTGTTATTGGTTTAATGGCTCACCCATTCATGCTATGCTAGCGTTTTTTCAGTGTAGGAAGTGTCTACATATACTATTTGTTGCGACGGTTATTATTAGGGATGGGATATTAAGGTACTAAAAACTGAAAAATAGGTAACTAAAAAGGTACTAAAAAAAGCATTTTAGGTTAAAAAAACAGCATTTTAGGTAAAAAAAACATTAAAAGTTCACGTTTCGTTTATAATTTTGTTTAGCCGCATACCCAAATACAGAACATACCCACAATAAACTATTTCTATGCAATAAACTGTGTTTCACTGAGTGACACTCACTACACAGAAGTTCTATGAAATATTGGGGCAAAATTTAAAAAGAACACAAAAAAATAAAATAAGTAAAAATACGTAATAATAGATAACAAATAGGTGAAAATAAACTGACAAATTAAAAAATATGTAACAAAAGTATAAAAAGGTAGTTTAAAGCAAAAACTTCCAAAAAAAGGTAAAAAAGGTGAAAACAAGTTAAAAAATAGGTAACAAAAGTATAAAAAAGGTAGTTTAAAGCAAAAACCTCAAAAAAGGTGAAAACAAGTTAGGTTCATATAAAAGAAAATCTTTTAAAACACATTTTGGCATTATTGGTTTTCAAATAGTTACATCGGTTGAAAAAAGGTAAAATAACTAAAATCCCATCCCTAGTTATTATATAGCGAGGCGAGTTTTTAATCTAATTAATAAAACTAACTTATTATTTTTATTAAACAACATTTTATGAAAGGGTCCAATTAACATCCGTGACGGTAAGAGCAGTAGACACATCTTATAATGTATAATGGGTTGCATACAATACTCGTATTAAATCGGCAGTACAGTTCTACTTGCCGATTTCTTTTACTTTACTGCCGATTTCGGATAAATGTAATTGGTTCTGTATGAACGTCACAATGTTATTTTCAGAAAATAATGTTTTTTTGCACACAACTTTTATTTATTTAAAAGTTAAATTCTATTGTTTTGGGATATAAAATGTCAAATATAAAAAAACAAAAAAAAACAAAACTATTTAAAACTATCGATTTCCTCTCAACTAAAACCAACATTTTAAAATAAAATTAAATTTATTGAAAACGTTTAAACCTACAAGCTTACCTAACTAACTAAAATAAAAAACAGGAAATTCCGAGGGAATTGTTAAAGTTCCCTAATTAGATTAAAGTGTTTCAGAAATGTTCCAACAATGTTTTAACGTCGTTCATAAAAGTTTTTCTTTTATTTTCTCATTTGTAGATACAAGGCATTAAAATATTGTTATGGTCATGGTAGAAACTGAAAAAGATCAAAAGGGTTCTTTCATGATTACATCTTGCTTTATGATAACGTTAGTATTCTATTTAGACATTTAATTTTATTATCTAGTTTATGTAAAAAGATTAACTTAAATACTCGTTTTTTTTGAGGTATTTAATATTATTTTTTGGGGGTGAAGTTAGCAACAGGTTTTTAGTCACGGGCTGAAGTTAGTTTTAAGCTGGTTGACAGTTGTCAAATGTCATACAATTGTTAAAATAAAGTGCCTTTCTTGTAAAATAATACTAAATTTTTAAAACAATATTGATTAGTTATAAAAAGTTGACTTCTACAATGTTTGGATTTAGGCTATTTATCATAATACTAATATCCGAATAATGTTCTTCTTATGTGTAAAAATTAATTGCCCATAGGTAAATTGCAAATAAATGCGTTAAGGAATACATAAACCTTATTAGCATGATATCATGGGCGGGTATGTGAACGACAATCCGTTGCCATTAACCCTGTTCAATTTTCATTAACCCTCGGAGACCTTTTCCTAACATTGTTAAATTATTGCAGAAATGTTTGACAACGCTGGATTTAACGTCCCTGGGCGTGGGCAGTTGCGTGGGGACCGGAATGTACCTGGTTGCCGGAATGGTAGCCAAAAATGTAGCCGGACCAGGTGTCATCATCAGTTTTATTATCGCAGCAGTTGCCAGTATCTTTTCCGGTAAGTAATGGATTTAATAGTTATATAAACAGTGAGTTTAATGTTTTACACCACTGTTCTCTTAATTGATATCCATTTTATTATAAGGTAAAACCACAGTCTTATATACAGGTCTTGCAACTTTAAGCTTCGAGGTGGCTTCCTTAACGTGCCAAGCCGCTAGGTGGCGCTAAGACCGAAGGGTGAAGTCAATTAAATGAACTACTTAGTTAAATGTGGAACTACTGCATAACCATAACCTAACTTTTTAAATTCTTTTTTGTTTACATTTTCAAAAATTTAATATTTGTGAGTTTGTTTCGGATAATTTACGTTAACAAAATAGGACAACAAAGTCTATACTCTATGCACAAAGTCCTCGGCCGTCACATGCCCAGACCAAACATGTAAGTAAAACATGTTAATGTATAAAATACATACGTATATCATATATATGTTACGGCTAATGTTTAACATGAATAGTTTATAAAGTAGCTGGGTAGTTTATAAACTAGCCAAACTGTCAGCTATTTTAATCTATTTTAATCTAATTAATAAGTAAAAACTCCCTGTAACAAAATACACAAGCTTGTTTATAAAAATGTAGGTTATGTTTCTTAACACAGAACATAAGTAGGTAGTTCATTTGACCTTTTATCCCATAGACTTTAAGGACTTAGAGCCGGTTTTACAATCGTTAGACCCAAGTAACATTTTTAGTTTTATTATGGTCTTCAAGAACACTTTAAAACAAAATTTTGTTTTAAAGCGTTCTTGAAGACCATATTAAAACTTTGAAGACCATAATAAAACTAAAAATGTTACTTGGGAGATTAAGTTAGCTTATTTGGCGGATAACTTTCATAGAAACCTTCTATCTAAGAAAATTATCCACCAAAGAGCTTATCTAACGATTGTAAAACCCAAAGATAAAGAAGGTAAAAACGACCTTTAAACATCTATGGTTCACCCACAACTCGATGCGCCATCTGGTGGGCGTCTCATTAGAGAGGTCACTTTTCCTATTGAAATTGGGCGAAGTTGCAAGACCTGTATATAAGACCGTGGGTAAAACGGTTAAATTTTCGCGTTCACTTACACATTAAAAAATTTTAACCAAATATTAACAGATTCTTCGCACTTCGCACACTCGTTAAATAGGTATTTTGATCCAAATAACAATAATAACAGATTTCTGGTAATATAATGTAAATACTTTGGACAGTTGTTACGAACACATTATGAATTAAAATAAAGTAAGCAGAAACAAAAGTTGCAGATGCTAAAGTCAGTTGATGCGTATTGTGAGAAATGTTTTGATTGACTGCCTGAAATCACGTGTAGGTACTTTTTCAATGAAATAATTTGTTAAACGTTAACAAAATAATCTGTTACCTTTGAAATTAACAAAATGCTTTTAAAATTGCATATTACCTTTATAAAACTTTCGGCAAAATATTTTCCTTTGTTACAAACCCTGGTTTTCTACAAAAAATTATGCCAAAATTGTATAAAATAAAATTAACAAACTACAAAGTCATCTTAAAAAATCTGATTTTTATAACATTGTAGTCTATTTTCTGTTGGTTTAGCATTTTTGCCAGATAATCAAAATATAATAAATAACATTTATCCCAAAACATAGAAACCGCTGGATCGGATAATTATCAGTATCAGCATCAATTGTAATTGATACCAAACCCTTTGACTTTGGTATCAAAACGTGTATTGCTTCTAAATGAAGGTTGGGATTGAACTAAAGGAATACACAACTTCTCCGACACAAAGTATTTTTTCTTGAGTTATAACTTTTGGATATAGTCAGACTAAGCTGGAAGGCTAAAATTTTAATGAAATTTAGACATTTTGTGAGACGATCTTTTTTATTAAAAAAATGTGGAATAAAGCTTAACTATTATCGTAACATTTTATTTTTTATTTTATAATAAGGTTATCAATGTTTTTAAATTGAATTATTAAATCATTTATATTTAGTATTTCACGAAAACCCATTAATATTCCACAACTACACCATAATAATGAGACCTGATAGAATTACACGACACTTGTCTGTAACGATGAAGTATACGTCTCCAGGTTAATTTTCTGTCAAGCAAAATAACAGGAACTAAATAAAATTACTGAAACTTTCGGCGAAACCAGGTCAGCACTAAAGTTTTTACAATTTTGTAAAAGATATTAAAACATATTTTATGCAAAGCTCATCCCTTTAAAAAATCTTAACTACTTGTTAAAAGTAGGGCATATTGTTAGTAATAAAAACTAAAGATGTAACATTTAAACTCGATGACCAAATTGAAAATTTGTCTTTCACAAACATACCTTTTTACAATCAACAATCGACATAAATCCGTTTAGTATTCAAACAGTGTCCAGCTGACAATTTAATGTCAGTTTTAGATGCTTAAAAATATCAAAACGACGTCCTTTATGCAGTCTTAAACATTATTATTCCTCGGTTAATCTAGTTTGGATCATTACGGCCTAGGATCCTATCGATTTAGAGAATAATAATGCAAAATTGATTTCAAATTAAACTTGTGACACTACCAGCTTTGGGAAAATACGTTGGTGGAAAGTAAGTGAAAATCTAAAAGCACTATAAATAGGTTGGGAGCCAGGAAAAGATGTAGGAGATTCTTTGGGGAGTTACTTGAATAAATAAAATTAACCACGAAAATTCAAGATGTGATGTTGAATTTATAGTGTTTATACAAGGTGTCCCTAAACTTAGTAGCATAAATTTAGTAGTAGATTAAGTCAAAGTCAAAATAAGACGAATATCTAAATAAATATTTTTTTTAATTAGGTACCTACGTATGTTTAAAAGATACAGGGTGATAAAATGTTACTTATCATATCAGATTTTTAATATAACTTCTACTATGGTAGACTTGGAAAGGTGATATTTTGAGAACAGTCACTTTCTACCAAAACACATATTCACACATAATTACAATTATTCGAGTGAACACAGTGTCGTAGAAACAGGGGTTGCTTAAGCTTATTGTCCCATACACAATTTGAGGTTAGGTTTTTATACCATTTGATGCAATTTTTTGATTACCCAGTTTGGCTACTTTTAAAAAGGTGTACCTCTCAAACTTCGATAAAATAAACCGTTTTCGAAATATTCGAGATTACAATAATTGTTATATCGCATTAAAGGACTAGAAGGTATATGACGAGGTATTTCATAACAATTTTTTTAATTGAAAAAACTACAATTTTTTTAATGTAACGGCCAGGGCAAACCAGGCACTTTATCACCCTGTATCTTGGAAACATATGTAAGTAATTAGGAAAAATATTTTTCTTACTACCTCGACTCAAAATACGTTGTTTCGTCCCCGATTCCACGGCAGAAAGTTTACGTTTTATGCATTGGTCAAGCTATAGGCGCACACTCTAATAGCGGGAGTAAAAATTTTTTAAGTGCTTAACATTCAAATTTCGTACTGCCAACATGAGAAACACAAAAATATGACAGTTTTAAACCATAATTTTGCAATTATAACAACAAATAAACAATTTATGTTTTTACTTTTTTACTTTTTATGTTGTTTTAAGTGTTTAATGGTACTTTTATTTGTTATAAATTTATAACAAATAAAAGTACCATTACTTAAGTAGTAATTTGTTAATTAAAATACAACGTTTTATTTTTACTGTATTGTCACCGCTGAATTCACGGCCTACTGTTATTTATTTATCAAGCTCTTCAAATGGAGATAGGTACATAAATACACATTTAATTTTTTCCCGTATTTTCGGCCGGGTTGTATTTTCGGCCGAGGTAGTAAGAAAAATAGTATACACTACACGGGCAGAAAGTGTGAGAGCCCTGAACTTCGCGCCATGATGCCCTCGGCTTCGCTTTCTGCCCTTGTAGTGTAATATACTATATTTGGGTTTTCGTCTTATTTTGACTTGCTCAATCGTTTCCTTAATGTATGCCAATAGGTTTAGGGATTAAAAAAACATTTTGGTGCTTTTTATAATAAAAAATAAAATAATGTTATTTTGAAAATTTTATAGTTGACTTAAAAAAATGTAAAGTTGAATTAACAAAAATGTTTAACCTTTTTTTTTAAAATGCATCTTTCCGGTTATAACTTTGTTAATATCCCGGCGCATCCGCCATTTTTGCAAATGTAAGTACCATAATATTAAGGTCACAATTCTATTTAATACACCATGCAATACGCACTAGTAGATAAACTAACCAATTAAATTATAAAAGAAATACAAATTTTTTTTTTGTAAGATAAATGAAAAAAAGTTTGTTACCTTTCTTAACTATATAAATAAAATATCAAGAAAAAAACGTTCAAAAATCATCTCAAAAATGTCATATCCTGTTTTCGTCTATTCAAAAGGAGTTCATTAGCAAAAATAATTAATAAATCAATAAAGCCTGAAGCATAAAGACATCATTCACCTAATTTGAATTTATAGAGTGCAAACGGTGAAAATAAGCAGTTGTAGGTGACGGTTGAATTAATTTAATCAATTAGATAAAAGTGGGCTGAGATTTTCCCCTAATTACCACTCATATGTTAAAACGTAAAAAATAAGGCATATTTATTACGACGTTTAAAATTTCATAACTGAAAAAAGTACTAAAATAAAAACAAATGATACAAATCATTTTTGTCTTTATTCAAAAAACATCCAAGGCTGTAAAATTAGTTTTGACCAATCCAAGCCTAATGCCATAATAATAATTTTAATTGTATATATTTTTTCTGTAAAAAAATTTTTTAATAAAATTTTATAAAGATAAAAAGGTCTTCTGAAAATCTCATCTTTGATGTGATTCCTTTAAAGCTTTCATCAGTATTTATATTTTGTCAACCAATGGAATTAGAATAATAATTAAATTTTCTATTATTTCCTTCTATTTTTTAGTTTTACAAGCAATATTAAAATTTAAAATATTTATTTCTTACCAAGAACATTTTAAACCAAAAAGGTTTGATATTTTTTTAACATAAATCCCCAGAGGCATGCTTTCCAATTTCTGTGGTGTTTTTATTTGTTTTTAGGGTTTTATCTCTTCTGATAAAATTTATTTTTATTTTAATGTGAAGTATCCAATATCATGGGTATTTTTATTTACATCAAAGGAATATCCCTTAGTCAAGATTTATTTTACTGGCAAGTCATAAAAGTTATGTATATATAATATTAATAATACTTTATTGCCCAACAGATTTACATCCAATTAAAGGACAAAATTATACAATATACAATAAGTTCATATGTACATAAAATAAAATAACATTTACACATTAATGATACTTTTGTAAAAGTAATCAGCTTCTTTTAATAATAAAGTTAGCGAAGAACTATTAATGTCAATTTTTAAAGATATTTCATTAATATTTTTTATCATGACTTGGACCGGAGATATCAACAAAACATTAGAACGAGCATTATCTGCCCTAAAAGTTAATTTAGTCCTAGAGTTTAAACGGGGAATATACAGATTAAACATAGATAATAACAACATACAGTCGATATTATTATGAAACAAGTCATACACAATTTTTATGCTAAACTTAACTCTACGCAATTCAAGTGATTTTAAAGTTTAAAAATTTCAGGAATCGTCTTTGAATATTTTCCAACGAAACTTTGTAGGTTGTGTACATTGGGTACCAAATCAAGCTGCAATATTCGATAATAAAATGAAATAACTTCACCTTGGAGTGAAGAAATCTAGATATTAAAATTACGTTTGTACTAATTTAGTTAAAAAATATCAATTTGAATATCTTTTATTAATAGACTAAATTAACTGGGAAAAATTTTAAATTTAAATTTTTGTCTATTGTTATTTCGATAAACTATTGTTTTTTTATTAATTTGGGTTCTATAATTGTTTATATTTCAAATGAAATTTTATTTTTCATAAAAAATTCCCAAAAAAACATGATTATACCAAAAAATTAACTTAGATCGTCTTGAGGCACGAGTTGTTTTTAATAAAAAAAAATTCCCAGTGTTTTTTCATCAAAAAGAAGCTTTTTAGGGGGCATTGAAAAAAATTTAATTTTTAACGACCACCCTTATATATTTATGTATATTATTAAAAAGCTATCAGTAAACAAATAAATTGGCCATTTCATTTACATTATTTGTATTATTTTGAGCAATATATTTATAATATTATAAATTTATTTTAACAATAGAATATTTATACATTTTTTATCTTTTGCAGGAGCGTGTTATGCAGAGTTTGGGGTTAGAGTTCCACATACCACAGGATCGGCTTATATGTATTCTTACGTCACAGTGGGAGAGTTTATCGCCTTCATCATTGGTTGGAACATGATTTTAGAGTACATGATTGGTACCAGCGCATGCGCGTGCGCATTAAGCGCCTGCTTCGATGCACTGGCCAATGGAGCCATCACCAAGGCCATCCACGAGAGCATTGGAAAAAATATAGGTATATGAAACCTGCATGAAAAAATGTCAGTGGTGTAAAACTTTTTTATAAAAAATATCAGAGGACATGTTTGTAGAGACGCCACTGGGGAAGCAAGAACAATTGTAACAAAAATATTTACTTTTTTATCCTACAACATTTAAAATAATATCCTGTGCTTTTAGAGATATTAAAAATTACTTTTGCAAAACCCTATGGTAAAAAATTGAAGCCCTTTAGGAGACATGTCCTTTTGTAATGTAATATACTATTAAATATAGTTTTATATTGACCCCAAAATGGTTTGGAAACTTAAATTTATCACCTACCAAGTTTAAATTTACCTGTTTCATTATTCAAATTAAACATTAATATATAATTGATAAATTGTATTAGATAAACTTGTAGATAACGTTAAAATAGCTTATATTTTTCTGTTATATTGATTGTAGAAAATTGCTTAAAAACTTTTTTAATTAAACCTCAACCTAAAAAACATTGACCTTTACATTAAACCGTTGCAACGCGTTGAATTTAAACGCGATAATACTTATTAAAGTTTTTGCACCACAATAGCTTGTTATCAAAATTACTATTACTCCCTCTTTTAAAATCATATATGTTTCCATTATACTAAGTCATTATTATTAAGTTATTTAATAATAACTTGTTTTATAAAAATTGTGTAAAAACATTGAAAATAATATTTAAAAACATTAACGTTAAAAATCTATTATCTTTTTTGTATAAATTAATTATCAATATAAATTCCTGCTAGCGAAATTGCCCGCCTGCTGCGTTTAAATCGGTTTGGTACTTCTTGTGTTACAGGAGGTGACCCCGATTTCCTCGCCTTTATAATTACGTTGCTGATGATGCTCCTGCTTGCGGCAGGAGTAAAAAAATCGCTTATTTTTAACAACGTATTGAACATCATCAACTTGGCGGTGTGGGTGTTCGTGATGACTGCAGGGCTTTTTTACGTTAATACGGACAACTGGACAGAGCACAAAGGCTTTCTTCCCGAAGGATGGTCTGGGGTAAGAAAATTTTGCACAAGTTTGTTATTTTTATACAGGGTGTCATCCTTTATGGGGATAATAGTACAAAAAAAATGATTACTTTTTATTGTTAGGTATCTCGTGGTTTATGTATTTTTTCCGTCGATTTTAAATTTCACCTTTCACTTTTTACATCGTTTGATGCTCATGCAGCTATTTTTTTAAGTGTTCAATAGAATCATAATAAATGTTCAACTATCCCGCAGTTATTATCCACACAAAGTTGACAGCGGTTTAGAATATTATGATGTGTCGCTCTTGCTATCATACCCGGGTGATTTCGGATTTCATCTGCCGCTGCAGTGACAATTTCGCGGAGTTGTTCTAATGTGTCAACTTCGCTCTGGTACACTAAACTGTTCATGTAGCCCCAGAGAAACCACAATAACAACCGAATTGTCAGTTTAAAATGTTGCTTCAGTTTGCTTGTATGAATAATAGGTATCATTATTTTTAGAGGTAAATACAATGATGATATATGGGATAGGTCAGTGAAATCCATTGATTCCATATGACAATTTATTGGGCGACACCTTGTATCTTAGGAAATATTATTTTACAAATTTTTATTATTTAATGCAATTTAAGTAGTTTATGCTAATATAATAGTTATTTATGTCATGAGGTTAAGAAGTAAGGCTTTTTGTACTAAGCTCAAAGTTTGAAGGCCGACGCGTAGCGGAGGCCTACAATTGAGCGAAGCACAAAAAGACACTTCTTGGCCGAATGGCATACAACATTTTATCTTCAAAGCACTTTATATAGGTCAATTTAATTCAACATGAAAGCGGCCCAACCTCACTTTTTTAGAATCTCATTTATTTATTAGCTAAAGATTACATTAAATGTACAATAATTATTATTCCCTTTAGAAGCAGTAGTTTGACAATACCTAGCTACATGATTTAAGTAGAAATATATTTTTGTAAGAAAATGGTTTACTTACCCTCTTGCTATTACATTGAATTCAATTAATTGTTTAATAAATAGGTATCTAATTTCAATTTGTTTGCATTTTTATTAAAAAAATGGGTAGTTTGGAATGTTTACGCTGTGTTTAACATTTAATTTCACTGAAAAATTAAAGCAAATTAAAACTTAAAGATAATTTAAATCGTAGAAAAAGAAAACACAACTGTGAAATCCACAGAAACGTCAAATTGCAATGTCCTAACCTCACTTTTTGTTTTATTATTCATATTTAATTTTACAATAATTTAATGAAAAATAATAAACATTAACAGTAAAACAAACAAATTAGTGCTTATTATAAATAAATTAAACCAGTTTAGTACGTTAATTTCTTAGAAAAGGATTAATTTGTCAAAACAATACCCCTAGCGAGAAAAAATCGAACTAATTACTTGCCTCATAAAAATTTTTATCGGCCTAGGCCATAACAAGTTATTTCTTTATCGAATGTTCACAACAATAAAGTTTAAATTATAGACCGCGTGGAGGTAAAATACTTTTTATTTATGAATTAAATTAATCTCTTTATTCTGGCAATTTTCAACCATTTAACCAAATTGTTTTTGTAACCTTTTCTTCATCGTTTTTACAAATTGTATTATCTCTAAAAGTATTAAATTTTTTATAAACATAAAACAAACTGTAACCCACTTATTACGCCTACAGATACGTAACGTGTCAACGGATGTTTTCCATTATCCCGGCGCATTCACCATTTTTACAACAAACATTTATTTTCGCTTTATACTGAAATATGGGATTTTCATGTTTTCTGTTTGTTTTAGGTTTTTACAGGAGCAGCCACTTGTTTTTATGCCTTTATTGGATTTGATATTATAGCCACTACTGGGGAGGAAGCGACAAATCCTAAAAAATCCATTCCTCTTGCCATTATATCAAGCTTGGGGATTATTCTTATTGCTTATGTCACCAGTTCCATGATGCTTACCTTAATAAGTAATGATCCATTGAAATTTATTTGCTTTGCTTCAAATTTGCATGTTGGGCCTTAAAAATACCAACTTTTATTAAAAATAATAATAATCAAATTAAATTTAAATTCGCCCAATTATCAATTTACTTTTTTTAGTTCCATACACAGAAGTGGATCAAGATTCGGCCTTAGTGGAAATGTTCGGGCAGGTGGGGGCTTACAAATGTAAATATATTGTGGCAGTTGGAGCTTTGGCAGGACTTTCCGTCAGTATGTTCGGTTCAATGTTCCCCATGCCCAGAATTATTTATGCGATGGCACAAGACGGGTTGATATTTAGGTAATTTGTACTTTGTTTTAACAAAATAATTGATGCAATAAATATATTTAAAACAATAAAAAATAATAAAATTCAAATTGCAATCAAATTTATATATATTTATTTATTGTTTATATATATATTTATTTATTGTTTTTTTAAATTTTATGATTTCACGTTTCAAAATTATTAAAATGCAAAATAGTTAATTAAAGAAGTATATTTAACTACAAATATTTTATAGCTATTATTATATTTTACTTTTATTAAAAAGTAAATTGTTAATTAAATAATTATATTAAAAATATACCTTTATTTATGATTTTACTATAACTTTAAAATAAAAGTTGGAAATGATCAATAAATATTACATATATGTAATAAATATATTTATTTTACAAAATAATCAAACATTTAAAGGAAACAATATTAATTTCTATTTCTAGTACAAAGAAAGCGTCTATTAATATTTTAAATTTTGACAAAGCTTTTGCAATGACTATTTCCCTCGTCTTAATATCCAACAATCACAAACGCGCAATTTTGAATTACAAATGGTTTCTAGGTGAAAAAACTGTGTGACAGCACCTGTCAGCAGTTTATTCGAGTTTACCCGCGGCAAAACTTGACAGCTGTTGTCACCAAAAATTGCAATTTATATTTTAATTGTTAACTGTTACTCATGAAATAGTCTTGTCAAATACCATTCGGGCATCTAATTTTTCCTGTGAAAAAAATCGAAAAAACACAATGCTAAGTAATATTTTTTAACAAAAAGCATTCGTGCAGGTGCAAAAATCCTCCTCTTCGACTCGGATTTTTGTTGCCACCAGCACTCATGCTTTTTGTTAAAATATTACTTAGCAACGTGTTTTTTCGATTCTTTTCGGAAAAATTAAATGCCCTTATGATATTACTTACGACTATTTCCCTCGTCTTAATTTCCACCAATCACAAACGCGCAATTTTGAATTACAAATGGTTTCTAGGTGAAAAAACTGTGTGACAGCACCTGTCAGCAGTTTTTTCGAGTTTACCCGCGGCAAAACTTGACAGCTGTTGTCACCAAAAATTGCAATATATATTTTAATTGTTAACTGTTGAAATAGTCTTGTCAAATACCATTCGGGCATCTAATTTTTCCTGTGAAAAAAATCGAAAAAACACAATGCAAAGTAATATTTTTTAACAAAAAGCATTCGTGCAGGTGCAAAAATCCTCCTCTTCGACTCGGATTTTTTTTGCCACCAGCACTCATGCTTTTTGTTAAAATATTACTTAGCAACGTGTTTTTTCGATTTTTTTCGGAAAAATTAGATGCCCTTATGATATTACTTACGATTATTTTATTTTCAATACAAATCCTTTCAAGTCATTTCATACCAAATATTTTGAAATGGCAATTTCTTTTTAGAAATAAATTAAAAGGACAAATACTGAGCAGGTATTTCAACAATATTTGGTATGGAATGGCCCATAGTGTGAGTCTATGTATAGTTTTTTATATTTTAAGGAAGTTTGTATAGATTATAAACTTATTTAACTCCACAATCTTGTGTTACCCATATGGACTGGGTAACCAAAAATTTCCCTTTTGAGAAGATAGAAGATGAATACTGCCAAAGGAGGAAATAGTCTTATTCAAAAATACAACCAGTTACTGACCAAGGACATTTTTGCATAAGTACCATTTTGTTGATAATGGTTTTTTGTTTTGCATAGGTATCTCGAGGTTTCCGTGGTTTTCCCGTCGATTTTAAATTTCACCTTTCACTTTTTACGTCGAGTGATGCTCATGGGGCTATGTTTTAAGTGTTCCACAAAATCATAATAAATTTTTAACTATCCCGCCGTTATTATCCACACAAAGTTGGCGTAGAAAATTATGAAGTGTAGCTCTTGCTATCATACCCGGATAATTTCGGATTTTATCTGCCGCTGCAGTGACAAGTTGTTCTAATGTGTCAACTTCGCCCTGGTACACACAATAACAACCGAACTGTCAGTAATCAATGATAACAAAGTACCTACTGTTTCTTTTTGAACCACACATATAGTTAATGTTAAAATATGTTTAAAATACCCACCATTTCATATTTGATAAATTTAACATTTAAAATGTATTTTTAGGATTTTTGCACAAGTTTGGCCCAGTACAGGAACACCAGCTCTTGCAACATTCTGTAGTGGTATGGCAGCAGCTGTGGCATCACTTTTTATACGTTTAGAAATCCTTGTAGAAATGATGTCTATAGGTAAATATGAAAATATCTATTTAAAAAGTAAGCTAGAAGGGATAAAATGTTGTATTTTTCTTTTAGGTACCCTTTTGGCTTACACCCTGGTCTCAACCTGCGTACTCATCCTGCGATACCAACCCCACTCGACAAACTTAGTGGAACTCCTTCCCCAAAGTTTGAGGACTCCTTTGCGCGGCAGCCCCACGAAGGAGGCCATGCAGCATAGCCCCAACAAAGAGGTTCTCTATGGGAACCAGCTTCAGCCGGACGCTTTGAAACAAGCAATGGACGCCAACATACCTGCTCCATCACCGTCACCTTTACCCTCCCAAACCACGCAAAGGGTGATGGTGCGCAGGATCACAAGAAGGTAAGAAAATCATGGTAATATTAATTAATATTGAATGTATTTTTTTTAATTTCGTTAATATAAATAAAAATATTGACCAATTCTATTAGGTAAACAAAATAAATTGTAACAATGCTGTCTTAAACATTTTCCAAGTTTCTATCAACCTGCATTACAAACAACGCTTTGTTAATTTTCGACAAATCTTTATCACAAGGAAAGTTGGCCAAAAATAACTACTTATGTAAGTCTTTATTTTCATGCAATTTTTGTGCTATCGCGTTGGGAAATGATCGTACAAATGGGAAAAAGTTGACTAATTTCTTTTTCAAACCATGGTTCTCTGGATAAATGTTCGAAACACTTCATATGTCTTAATTAATAGTAACGTAACTAATTATAAAGTAAGATAACAATTTTAAATTATATGAATAGATAGGTTGATGACAATGTTTGTTATTATCAAAGACCGGATTTTAGGCCCTTAAAAATTGGAAATTATTGCACATAAATAGGCAATAAAAACCTAAAATAGGCGATATAAAATAAAAACAACACGATTAAACATAACATTTATTCAGGTCCTACCAATAAAAATAAAACAAAAAATACTTATGTCTCTCTTAATATAAAATACATAAAAACAATTGCCCTTATGAATAAAGAAAAGGAAAACCTTACTTTTAAAATTTAAAGGTAATCTTTTGCCAATATACACACATGATCAAAATTGTTGCATATTTCTGTATTTTAATTTGCGCTTTGTATAACATTCTGTTTTTTGTTGTTTTGGAATACATTTTCATTTAACAGTTATAATACGTAAAATTTAAAAAAATGTAATATATTAAAGTATATATTTTTGTAGGAAATTTTAAAAATAAAACTAAATATAATTTTTAAAAAGTGAAAATAATTTATTATCAGAAACGATTTAGGTGAAAAAACATATAACAATTAAATGAAAATTTATTTCAAAACAACAAAAAACAGAACGTTATACAAGGCGACAATTAAAATACAAAAATATGCAACAATTTTGTGTTATATATATATATATATATATATATATATATATATATATATATTAGACTGGTTCAAAAAAATCGAATATTTTTTTTTCTTCAAAGCCCGCATTAAAATATCTTCCTAGTAGTAAAAAAAGAAGCCTGTGAAAATTGTAGCTCTTAATATTAATATTTAGAGGTCGCTCATCGTGAATTTATATTTTACGTTTAAATAACACAGGAATTCTTTTTTCTTAACTTTGAAATTTTTTAACTCGTTTTTGAGTGAACATATTGGAATGAACTCTATATATTTTTGAAGAAAATTGAACGTTCTACAAAAAATGTCTCTTATAATTTTTTCGTAAATTCACTCCTTTAAAAGTTATTCAAGGTTTAAATTATTCCAATATGTTCACTCAAAAAAAAAGTTAAAAAAATTCCTGTGTTCCTGTGTGTTATTTAAACGTTACATTTATTATATGTCTAATTTCAACCTTGAATAACTATTAAAGGAGTGAATTTACGAAAAAATTATAAGAGACATTTTTTGTAGAACGTTCAATTTTCTTCAAAAATATATAGAGTTCATTTCAATATGTTCACTCAAAAACGAGTTAAAAAATTTCAAAGTTAAGAAAAAAGAATTCCTGTGTTATTTAAACGTAAAATAGAAATTTACGATGAGCGACCTCTAAATATTAATATTAAGAGCTACAATTTTCACAGGCTTCTTTTTTCACTACTAGGAAGATATTTCAATGCGGGCTTTAAAGAAAAAAAAATATTCAATTTTTTTGAACCAGTCTAATATATATATATATATATTGGTATAAACCGGCGACGCTGAACAAAAAATATAAACAAAAACAAACAAAAGCACCATTCGTTGATTCCAACGGTTGTCAAAGTTGACTTTAGCCATCTATTGTTAAGAGTTATTTAATTATGCCATAGATGGCGACAAATTATATATATAAAGACTGTTAAAAAGTCTGAAATTACCATATACATATATGGAAATTACAGTAAAACCTATGAAAACAAAGTAAATAATAATTTTTAACCATTATTTTACAAACTTAATATTATTCATAATTATTTATAATAAATGTTTAGATAGCAAAAACACAATTACTTTTTTAATTAGGTTTTCACTAGTTTTGTAATTTGTGGTCCTCGTACTCGCCAAGGGCATCTAGGCGAAATAAGAGCATGAAAGCAGGGTCTAATTAAAAATAATTTACTTTTCCAAATTCAAAGAGCCTATTTTAGGCTCATAAAAATGTCCTTTTAGGGCAATAAATCAAAATTTCGCCATTTTAGGCTTTTAGGCAAAAACAAAGGGGTGTCAAGCGCTTTATTTTTTTATGTTTAGGATTAATTTCAAGGTCCCAAAGAAATGCCTAAAATAGAAACAAAAAGGCATTGCCTAAAATCCGGTCTTATTATACATAAAAACATGCTTTTTATGGTAAAAACATATTATTTCAGAGCAACTAACGCTAGCACACATCTATTGCCACCTGTGGCTGAAAAACCTTCAAGAAGACATTCACATGATGCTTCAATTTCTTCTGATGCTAGTGGTGTTGGGTACAAACATATTTTAAACCCTAAATTTGTTCAACCTTACCCATGCAACAAAAACCCTTTTTATATATAAATTGCATATCGACATTACCCTTTATTACCAGTCTAGAGTACGAGTATGTTACTAATAGTAAATAGCAATAGAAACAAATAGAAATCAAAATCAATATTTTATGTTTTTAAATGTATTCTTAATACCTATAACTTTGTTAAAATGTGTGAACCTTTTTGCGTTGAAGGTAAATTAATTGTAATAATAATTTCCTTGCAGTTCACCTGATAGTGATGATACATTTGGTGATAACGAAGCTGAAGATGACTTTTCCACTAGAGATGATCGATATTTAGTTTCTGATCGGACTGAAAACAAATTTTATGGTATGTAAATATCACTTAAGTTATAAACATAATATTTTGTTTAATTTTTTTAAGGAACTTTACATGGTGCTGGAAGTGCAACTAGCACAGGTGGTGTAGTAGGATCTACTGTAGGACCTAGTTTAGGATATATTGGACGAAGACTTCAGGTAAATATTAAAATTATTGAGTTTATTTTAGTTCAGTCAACATTTGTTTATTAATCCACTAATCCATTAATTTAAAAAAATTTCTTTTTAGGCTGCTACATATTTATGTCCATCAATTTTTCCGTGGGTGGACACTGGTCCAGCCACTGAGGAATCTGGAATGTTCGTTATGAAAATGGTTGGAAATTTGTACATTTTAATTATAATTTTCGATTTAATCATAGTCCTTGGAATGCACAACATGACAGGCGCTACAACATTTTTCTTTTTCGTATTTTTATTTGCTATTATAGGTATACTGTTGGTTATCTCAAGAAAACCTCAAAATAGGTAAAAACATATTTTTTTTCTTAATTTTTTATTAAAATTATGTTTTTTAGAAATACAATTATGTTTATGACACCTGGACTACCATTTGTGCCGGCTATAGCCATAACAGTAAACATTTACCTTATATTTAAGTTATCTATACTAACACTGGTGAGATTTACTATTTGGATGACCCTAGGAATGCTGATGTATTTTTACTATGGAATCAAAAACAGTACGTTGGAAGAAAAGGTCGATGCTGATGGTAACATTGAGTTAACTGTAACTGATCTTGAAAAACCCCAATACAATAACGCTGCTTATGCGGATCAAACAATATTTAGGTAAGTATACGTTTTTTATTTAAAATAACATTTTGTAGATTTAATAACAAAATCCTATTTCAATAGTTCAACCATAAATCTTGTAATTTTCAAAAAGGAGCTTTTTGCAGAACCAGTAACAAAAGTTTTTGTTGGAAATTAGGAACTTAAATGAAAAGAATTTGATAAGAAATGTTTCTTTACTAATTAATTTTCTAAAGAAAAAAATGTACACATACCTACATTAACGAATACAAAAATAAAATACACACAACTAAATAACAAACCATTCTGAAATTATCAAATTATAAAGAAATTTGGTGCAATATAATTACCACACTTACTGATGTATTTCGTAACTTTAACCCACTTTACTGTACCCCCTAATTTCAGTTTGAAAACCAGTGATGGGATCTTTTTTCGGATAGTTCGCACTTTGCACACTCGTTAAATACACACATGATCAAAATTGTTGCATATTTTTGTATTTTAATTTTCGCTTTGTATAACGTTCTGTTTTTTGTTGTTTTGGAATAAATTTTCATTTAATTGTTATAATACGTAAAATAAAGAAAATAATAATATATTAAAGTATATATTTTTGTAGGAAATAATAAAAATAAAAAAGTTTCGGAACCAATCATCCACCTCGGAGACGGAGGATGATGACACGACAGAATTTAGATATATAATTTATTGACAATAAAATACATAGTGTACATTACAATTATAAATTTTTTTTCGAAAATAATCACCTTCATTCTTTTTATAAAATTTATATTTAATATGTTTTTTCACCTAAATCGTTTCTGTTAATATTTTTTTTTCACTTTTTAAGAATTATATTTAATTTTATTTTTAATATTTCCTACAAAAATATATACTTTAATATATTAAATTTTCTTTATTTTACGTATTATAACAATTAAATGAAAATTTATTCCAAAACAACAAAAAACAGAACGTTTTCGGTAAAATATTTTCCTTTGTTAAAATAATTACAAACCTTTTTACACAAAATTTTATAAAATAAAATTAACAAACTAAAATTTTTATAACAGTTAAAGGTGGATAATATAGCAAGATATTATAATTTTAACTTCCAGTCAAGAGCCGGCAACATACGACTGGGATCCGAAGAGCTCCTGGGATCACCAGCAGCCATCCTGGGCTCAGCCTCAGAACCAGTGGGGCCAACCTCAGCAAGCCAAGCAGTATCAGGTTGAGCAACAGTACAACGTCGAAACTAATAATACGAAATCTGTAATAAACAAAAATAAACCAGCGCCACCTACGGTTCCTGCTGCTCCTGCAGTTCCTGCGGCTCCTGCTACCGCCTCTGGAATGTTTGTTCCAGATCCTTTAGCCTACACCTGGGATGATTAGTGAGTTCATCAAAAGTTGTTTAGGGTGTATGAAAATAATTTACTTTTAATTATCTAAAATGTTGATGGTAAAAAAGGTATATTTTTTAGGTTTTTTTTAGGTTTGTTTTACTAATTAAAAAGAATCCTAAACCTAAAAAATATTTGTGGGAGAACTTACTAAATAAAATTGTTCAGGGTTTATAAACTATAAATTCTAAAAATTAAATGTATTCAATAGGATTTTCTCCCATTAATTTTGGATAATACCAAGGTAACATTATTTTCAGGTTACTCAGCTGTTATTGTACATTGTACACTATACATTTTTGAATGAGGTTGTTAAAATTGCCTAGTCTAAGAAATTTTAAAACATTTAGAAAAAAGCAGTTGAAAACATTGGGTAATATTTTTGTCTATAAGCAATAAAAATATAAAAGTATTTATTTTAATTTTTCGTTATCTTAGGTACAAAAGCAAAAGGTTAAACAAATATTATTTATGTATAAAAATATGTTAATTAAATCGTAATATAAGGGTTGTGAGAAAAATATAAAGCATTGAAATGTTGCCCAATGTAAAACTAATAATATATTAAATTAATCAAGTTATACTCCTAATATAAATACCAAAAAAATGTTTTCAAACTTCCCTTTTCTTCAAAACATATCATTTTAAGTAGACTTTGTTAATTCTTAAGACCGCCACAACAGTAGATCTCAATAGCTTTTAAATAGCATATCTTTTGAAAACATTTTTTAGCTTTAAATGTAAATTATATTGTAAGAATACTGTTAAAATTTAAACACTACTGTTCTAGAATATTTATTTACCCTTATTATTATTATTCCCTTAGTTTTTATACTACACCTACAGTTTTATTAAATCAAATTTTAAAAAATCGATATTTTTTTAAATTTAATTTAGTAAAAATGTTTTGTATATAATGTTCGTATACTTTTAGGATTTGCTAGTTTGTCTTAAATTTAGGAATAAAAAAAACTTCGTCATAAAAATCTGGTGATATGATGGCACAATTTGTAGCTAGAAATATTTATTATAAATAATATTGCACCTAATTTGCCTATATAACAGATATATGTGATAGTTATATTTGTAAAAATAATTACGATAAAGTTATTGGTTTATTTTCATATAAATACATTTGGAATTTTATTTTCTTGACCTAATTTTTCAACTAATAATTCTGGATGGATTTTACAGTTATAGGCTACATTTTGTCTTGACATTTTCTTAAAAGTAAAGTAAAAGTATTTTTCAAGCAACTTTTTTAAATACTTAAAATGGTAATGGATTTTTATATGAAATATATTTATGTTGTTTTATAAATATTATTTTTAATTTCCTGTAAAATTATTTTAATTCCAACAGCTACTTTTAACGACATTGATGTTAGTTGGTTACGGGGCCAAAAAATGAAAATGTCTTATTAAAAAAATATTGTAGATACTAAATGGTAAAAAATCCATTACCAAACAGAATTATGTAACTCGGGTTTTATTAATATTCCTAAATAAATGTTTGATATTATTATATTTATTATCGTTATTTTATTATTATTAATATTATTTATTTTTGTACTGTAAGAATATTTAATAATATTAATTAAAATATCAGCCATATAAAATATTGTTAAATATGTGTTATGATAAAAATTAATAAATTTTAATTACTTATATATAGAATTAGGATTTTTTAATTATTTGTAGTACTAGTGATAAGGACAATTTTTAATATAAATGGGGTTTCATTTTAGTAAACATTTTTAATATTTTTTAACATTTCCAAACATCTTCGTTCAATATTTTCAGATATACTTAAAATAGATTTTTGTAAATTATGTAGTCCATTGTTTTATATTGTAAATAAGTGAAATTGAATAACAAAAGCAAAATAATGTTCTAAAAGTGTATAAAGACGATGTAATGGCTTGTTACGATAATTTTAATCGTTGATTTTTTTATTCACGCATTTGTAAATACACGGGACTGATAACTATAAATTTAAAATAAAATCACTTAACATCAGTGCCTGGAAATTAAATTGATTGAAAAATCACATAGACGAAACACAGTTTTTATAAAAAATTATAAGAGTTTACAGGGTTTATATTTAAAATTTAGCCGGGTAGATTCAATAAAGATAAAGGTTTTTGGTTTGTCAAAATTTTTATAAAAAATGTGTTTTGTGTGAACTAATTACCTATTAAAAATAAAACCCTTTTAATAATCTATAGCCTGTCGTTAGCAACCTAATTAATTATGATCATAAAAATATTTATACATGCGTTATTTTTACTTTTTTATCTTTTGTCCTATGTATGTAATTATTGAATTTAAATTTGTATAAAATAACATTATTTATAGTGATATCTTGATGTTACTTCTTCCAATATAAAAAATACATTTAGCGATGTAAGTTTTAGATAATCCAATATGTTAAAAGTATTAATTGAAAATAAATGATTTCAGCATTTTACCAACTTTGTTTACACCCATTAGTAATGCTTTATGAAAAATAATTATAATGTATAATATATACATAAGTAACTATTAAGTTTTGATTTTTCGTATTTGGGTTATAATTATAATCATTAGAATAAATGTCATATTCATACCAAAACAATATGTATAAGTTATCTTGGCTATGGACTCCACCCACATATATTCTCATTACATAATGCATGTCAACAGTAAAAGTATAATTAAATTAAACGAATGCAGTTGATTGTAATCTTGTCACAATATTCAACCATATTTGGCAAAGGATTTTTGTTCAGTTTTGCAGCTTGCTTACTCATATACAATGATTGTATTTTAAAAAGGGAATTGCTTTTTTAATGACTAATTAAACATGCTTTTTTAACTAAAAAGTAGTTTGTGGGTAAACTATCGCAGCATTTAAACCTTTAATTTAAACTTTTTTGCAGAAAGCATATTTACAAGAATTTATATTATTCTAATAAGAACAAAACCCACAATTTCATGTAGGACCTACTACTTATGGGCCATAAGTTATGGCCAAGACAGCACAAGCTAAATCCTGTAGATAAAATTAGGTTAATATGACAACTTTGCCACGTGCGTAAAGTAAAAGTAAAATATTTATATTGATAATGAATTTAATGCGACTCACAGCATTGAAACTAAAAGTTGTTTATTTAATTTTTATAATTCATGGTTTTCAAAGTTTTTAACCGTTTTGTAATAATAAAAACAATCACATATAAGTGTTATAGAACATGCGAATCAAAAAATGTAATAACTTGATATTGCCAAGTTAAATAAAAACTGGGGCATATGCAAATGTTATTTAATTGGGAAATTGTACTTGCCTATTGATCTTGTAAACAAAAAAAACTAAAGTTTCAAATTATACTTTCATATTCATATATGAATAAATTTGATAAATTGTCAGTTTTGTGCAGAACTACTAATGAATAATAATTTATCTATAAAATTAGTTATTTATAAATTAAGCATGGAAATTTATATATTTTAACTATTCTAAAGATTAAACTTGTACTTAACATGCCATTACCATAATAGTATTTTGTTTAAGTAATATGTACCTACAAGTAGGTTTGAAATTTTATCAATAGTACTTCTTACTAGAGCATCCTAAAAATAAACTATCAAAATAATTTTTTTAAATTTATTTTTGATTAATCACTTCTGGTTGTTTTTTAATTAAATTTTTTTTTAATTATATTTTAAAATACTCGATAAATATGGCTGTAATTTTTTATGTTTGATGTAAGGAATTATTGACCTACCCTATAGTATAGTCAGAATCAATGACCCGAAAATTAATTTTTATTATAATAAAATTCTCGTATAGTCTTACAAAAACATTTTTTGCAGAAGAACCTTTTGTAATTCAACTGATATCAGGTGTTAAAGCTCATTTAAAAAAATGACATAATTAGGATCATTCTAGTCATTTTAGTGATTAATTGAGATCGAAGGAGGTTTACACATTTCAGTATACCATAAAGATAGAGAACAGTGAAAGTAATGTTATTGTATAATAGCGCAAGTGGTAAGACCACGCCCTGTATGTAGTGCATTTAGTTTTAATAAATTTTGAAATTATGTGCGATTTATAAACATTACCATTGACTGACTATCAATTGCGATATTTTTTCAATTTCGCAATGCAACAAATTAGTTTAATTAATATTGCGATTTATTTGTATAGCTTCTAGTAATATCATTACATTATTTTTATTAATATTTAATTATTTTTGGCCAGCAGTATAAAGGTATAAACTCTTCTTTTATTTTCTTTAAACAATTTTGTTTCCATTATAGTCTGCTGGTATTCGGTTTAGTTTGTAAATAGTTCAACAATGTGGCTAATTAATTTATTTTTATTGAATTATAATTCAATAAAAATTATTATTTGAACAATTTAGAAAAATCTGTAATAAAATGCAATATCAAGGAATAAATTAGTAAAATGTCAAATAAGAAATCGTGACAAAAAACACCAGTTTACAAAATCGAAAAAAAAAAATCTTCCCAACATATCCTATTATAATTTTCCCATGTAAACACGAAAATCAAAATACATTTTTTTTATGGAAGCGTTTTTGAAATATGAATTTTCAATTGTTTTTTTTTCAATTTTCGTCGATTCTTTGACGTTTTCGAGTATAGCTTGAAATATAATTAATCGATATGGTCAAACAAGCACTTAAATTAAAGGTATTTGAGTCCTCTAAAACTTTCTTTTACATACTTTTGATATTGGATAAGTTTTGACGCTAGCGGTTTTAATAACTAAAATAATTCTTTTTTATGGCAAAAAGTGAGGTCGAAAATTTACATATCGTCCTGGGAAAGGTTTAAATCAAACAGATAACTCCAGTTTGAATTTTTTTCGTGAAGCTGACATTTTTACAAAAAAACAAGCTAATGTTGATGAAAATACATGGAAAAATGTCGAAGTTATGAATTTTTTAGTGGAAGACCAAAATTCAGCTTTTTGACGATTTTT